CAGTGTTTGACAATGTTCTTTCCTAAGCATTCCTTTACACATGGTACCCCCCAAGTAGGTAAAAGGGAAAGTACCACATTTCATCTCCAAAGCCTTCTCCATGATAAGGATTTGAGAGGGAGTTGTGTGTTTATTAGTGTAAAACCTGCTCTTGGAGAAGTTCACCTCTTGCCCTGATGCTTGCAGGTAAAGGCGAAGGATATGTTTCAGTTTTAGGAGGTTTCTGGAGTCACCTTTTGTGAAGATCATAAGGTCATCTGCATAGACAAGGTGTCACACCCACCTTAAAGACCCAACATTGAATCTGCTGATGAAATTATTGTCCAAGTGGTGATTTAGAAGTCTGCTAAAACCCTCCCCTCCAATGATAAAGAGTAAGGGTGAAAGGGGATCTCCTTGTTTCACCCCTCTTGTCATTTGGAAAAAACCATTAGGTTCCCCGTTAAGAAGGATGGAGAAATAGGATGATCTGAGGCTGGCCATTAGTAGATTGACCGCTTTCTTGGAGAAACCAAAACCTTCCAGAACAGCTTCCAAGTAGTTCCATGCCATCCTGTCAAATGCTTTGGCCATGTCAATTTTGATGATGATGTTTCCCCCATAAACCTTTCTATCAAGATGGTGAATTGCCTCCTTTGCCAGAAGAATATGGTCATCCAAAGATTTTCCTTTTTGAAATGCACATTGTTCCTCCGAGATGATTTTGGGCAGAAGGTTTTTCATCCTATTGGCAAGGAGTTTGGTGTTGATTTTGCTCATGAAGGTGGAGAGGGAGATGGGCCTGAAATCATCAAAGGATCTTGGGTTATCTTTCTTGGGGATAAGGGTTAGGAAAGTGCTCCCATATGCCTTAGGGATAGGGAATCCCAAGAAGAATTCTTGTGACGCTCTAAGAACATCTTCCTTTATAATCTCCCAGGCAGATTTGAAAAAATTCCCATTGAAGCCATCGGGTCCACTAGCACTGTCTCCATCCAACTGCCAAATGGTGTTCCTTACTTCTTCCATGGAAGGGAGAGCAGTAAGGATATCATTATCTAGCTCTGTGATGGTTTTAGGGATGTAAGGCAAAATGAGGCTGGGTGAGGAGGAGTGATCATCTGTAAATTGGGCCTTGAAGAAGGAGATTGCTTCCTCACAGATTTCTTCTTTGGTGTGCAAGCCTTTCCCATTTTTGGAAATGATGTGATTAATGGCTAGCTTCTTCTGTTTCCCTTTCACAAAAGCTTGAAATAATTTGGAGTATATATATATATATATATATATATATATATCAGCTAATTTTACCAAACATTTTTAACGATCAGCCAATTCAAACTAAACAGTCATTCATAATAGCTGGCACGAACTGCCAATAGCCAACAGCTGACAATCAACATTCAAACAAGACCAAAGACTCATCATTTACATGTTTGTAGATCAATGAGAATCTTTATTTGAAGGAGTATTGGAATGCACGTCCTTGAAGAAGATCTTTGAGAAGGTGTAACAAGCCGTGAAGATAGACGCAAACCGAGTTTGTCGTCAAGTCATTCGTAAGTAGACAAATCAATACATTAGAAAGTTCTGTTGTGATTGATTGTGTAATTCATACGGTGATTTAGTGGAAGGGCTATTACATGGACGTGGGCCTTGCAGACGTAGGAGAATTTGCTCCGAACTGCTTGAACAATTCTGGTGTCTTGCTTGCTATTTTTACTTCATATTTTACGTGTGTGCTTGTGACAGAGAAGTGTTATAGCACACTGTCCGACATCTGTTACTGGACAATGCTGCAGCGTCTTCTCTACAGCATAGTGGATTGATTTGTTTGCATAGCTCTTAATTGGTGTTATCCGCTGCGCCCCCCACGAACTTACAATTGGTATCAAAGCTTGGCAAGCTTAAGTTATTAGCTTGATTGATCTATCACCATGGGAGATATTCAAGAAGGTGCTAATTTTTTTAGACCTCCACTATTATGCAACCATGATTATACTTTTTGGAAGTGTCGAATGAGAGCCTTCCTCAAGTCTCTTGGTGGACAGGTTTGGAGAAGCATAGAGGTTGGATGGTCAGCTCCTACTATGACAAATGAAGATGGAGAACTAATTCAGAAACCTTATGAGAGATTCAACAAAAAAGAAAAGGATGCTGCTGAATCGAATGATCAGGCTTTGAATGCAATCTTCGGAGCGGTTGACAGAAACCAGTTCCGTCTTATCTCAAACTGCATAGACGCCAAGAGAGCTTGGGACATTTTGCTTATTACTCATGAAGGCACTACAACAGTTAAGATGGCCAAACTTCAGATCATGATGTCTAGAATTGAAAATCTTAAGATGGAGGATACTGAGTCTATCACAAACTTTCATGGGCGAGTTAGAGAGCTGGCAAATGAGGCTGAAAGGCTTGGTGAACCAATTATAGAACACAAGCTGGTGTTGAAAGTTCTACGTTCTCTTCTAGAGAAATACTCCATGGATGTCAAAGCTAGACAAACACAATCTCTAAATACTATCTCTCTTGACGAGCTGATGGGGAACTTAGAAACCATTGAGTTGGAGATGCAAGAAGATCTAAGACGTAAAAAGCAGCATGTCATCCTCGTTGAAAAAGAGAAGTAGTGTGTTAAAGACAGTGCTGGAACATGATGTGCTTTTCCAACTATCCATAGTGTTGACGGTGACTCTGATAGTGACGTAGATCCAAGGGAGATGCTTATAATTGTTGAAGAAAAATTTCAAGAGTCTCTACGGGTCAACAAGAAAAAATTTATGGAAAATGATAGCCTCAAACGTGAACTTGCTGAATCAAAACGCAATGTGGAACAACTCATCAAACAGTTACAGAGATACAAAGGTAAAGTTACAGCAGAGGATGATACGGAAGATGACACAGAGGTTGACACAGTAGAAGAGCTAGCTATTCTCCAAAGGAAGTGGGTAGAACTTGTTCAAGCCAACCAGAAAACTATCCTGGGGAATCATCAGCTTGTTGCCGAGCGCAATAGACTAAAGGAGAGTATTTCAGAACTAGAAAAGAAGACTGAAGACTTAGAAGGGCAACAATCAGATCTCAAGTATGAATTAAATCAACTCAAAAACTTTCACAAGTGGATGAGAAGTGCTGGAGCAAAAACTATTGAGGAACAAGTGAACGTTTCAAAATTTTATGGAGACAATACGAGTCTCGGATTTTCAGGTTCCGAAAGCAATAAGACTCCACTTGACTTGTTTGTTGATCGAAGAAAGGAAATTGCTCAAAAAGTCCTACAAGGAAGGAAAACAGAAGCTGCTGCATCCGCTGGAACATCTTCTGCAAAACCTGCTGAAGCATCTCATGAAGCTTCTGCTGGAACAATTTATGCAGCACCCTATGCAAAAAGGCAAAGAGTTGTGACACAATATAGTATAAGAAGACAAAAGGACCATTATGCTAAACCTGAAAGGTATTCTTATACAAATGTCTATGCTAATTATGTTTGTTTTTGCTGTGGAAAAAGGGGACACATTCAGAGGAAATGCAAGATTTTTAAAGAGCAAAGACACATAAAAAAGAATGTGACAATAAGGATGATTTGGGTACCTAAGAATCAGCACAAAACAGCTGATAATCCTTATGTGAAGGATGTTGCTTCTGATCAATGCCATGTTAGTTGTGTGAGCTTGCATTAAGAAGAAAAGAAGATAGATCATTGTGCTGTTAAGAATGCTGAATCATCTCATAAGTGTGATGAAGTGACACCTCCTAGCCATGAGAGTGTGAAGTTTATGACTATGAAAAAACGGGCATTAGACATGTGTAAAAGAGCATTTGATATGAATCGGTTTGGTATACTCAGATCCCGCTTGGGTCTGTGCACACCCATCTCTACCTGATTTAGAGGATGCTCTAAGAGGTGTTTCATCTCCAGCGTGGAATACCTTAAAGCATAGATGTTCTTGCTGGTTGCACAAATGTCTTTATTTTTACAGATTGTTACTTTTTCAGATGCATCGTCCGAGGGGGAGTCGCTCAAGTGTGGCAAAGGTTGATGTGACAAAGTCTAGGTCTATTTTGATATTCATTATTGTAATGCTCAAGCTCGCTTGAATGTTACTCTTCTCTTTTTTTCCCAATATTCTTAATAAAACCTTTTGCATTTTTTATGCAAAAAAGGTGGGAGAAGAGGTTCAAAACAGCTGAGATTCGTTTTTGTCAAAAAATTGCCAGGGGAGAGATTGTTAGTTCCATATTGTGTTGGCATTATTTTTGACAAACGAATAGATTTATCTAGAATTATTTTAGATTTTTTATTTAGACTTAGAGTCCTAGCATGTGAAGGAAGACAAAGAGGAAAGAGCTTGAAGAGAGAATTCTAATCCTACTTGAATTCTAATCCTACATGGTTTACTATTCTTGAAGAGGAAGGCATGGTTGAGACTCCTAAGCACACTCTAACAGGGTTAATATTCTCTATATATTATCTTCTCCCTCCCTTAGAGTTGTGTGGTGGAAAAATACGAAACTATTGAAGAAAATCCGAAAATAGGAAGAACAAGGTGCAGAGTTTGACAATGCAAAGTTTCTGGACAGTCCGCACAGATATGATCATCGCCGGAGATCCGACCGTTGGATTTTGCTGATATTTTCAGAGAGTGTTCTCAACACATAGGGCTTCAACGTGTTAAAATTTCACGTCAATCGGAGTTACGGATCTTTTGCTATTGAAGTTACAATCTACACATTGTTGTTGATTTTTCACAGAAAACGCAGCTCTGATTTTCTCGATGGTTGGAGTATCAAATCTTGTCCGATCGTGCTGAAATTTTAGGAGTCTATGGACTCGCAGAGCTTCAATCTGAACGGTGGAGATCGAATTTCAACGGTTCAATCTCGAGTTATGAACTTCTGAACAGCTTGCATATTTTTGTAGATCAATGAGGACCTTTATTTGAAGGAGTATTGGAATGCACGTCCTTGAAGAAGATCTTTGAGAAGGTGTAACAAGCCGTGAAGATAGACGCAAACCGAGTTTGTTGTCAAGTCATTCGTAAGTAGACAAATCAATACATTAGAAAGTTCTGTTGTGATTGATTGTGTAATTCTTACGGTGATTTAGTGGAAGGGCTATTACATGGACGTGGGCCTTGCAGACGTAGGAGAATTTGCTCCGAACTGCTTGAACAATTCTGGTGTCTTGCTTGCTATTTTTACTTCATATTTTACGTGTGTGCTTGTGACAGAGAAGTGTTATAGCACACTGTCCGACATCTGTTACTAGACAGTGCTGCAGCGTCTTCTCTACAACATAGTGGATTGATTTGTTTGCATAGCTCTTAATTGGTGTTATCCGCTGCGCCCCACACGAACTTACAAAACAATCGTATTGAAAGAGGAATAAGAAGAGTCTAGGAGTTGGCTTCGTCGTCATCCTCGTCGTCCTCGATGTTCATAGGATTGCCGTCGATCGCATCCTCATAGTCGGCCTCGTCGGGGGAGGAGGACGGAGCGTAAAAGTCGTCGTCCTCATCCTCACCTTCAAAGTTTTGGCCGAGAATGGTGCTGTCGAAGGGCGGCGGGACGTAGTTGATGCCTCGGAAGAACGCCGTCATGTCGTGATGTTGACGTTGCAGCGTCCAATCCATCCTCTCCATGTACTGCCCCATGTCGTCCACTGTGAAGGTTAGCCGATTTAGGGTGTCGGGTGTGGACTGCAATGAGGACAGAGCGGGAGCGGGGGCAGGGGCACAAGCATAACTCAATCCAGCGCCGTCTCGGTTTCCGGACTTCTTCTTGAAGGTGTTTTCGGTTATGACCTAGAGCTTCGTCATCTTCGTGCTTGGCCCGGCGATGTGGATGTCGGTGAAGACGATGAGGTCCATGACGAGGAAGGCGTATGGCAAGCTCTGCTCATTGATGATAGAAGCGCAATCCATCATGTGAATCATGACAAATTTCACCCAATTGATGGAGGCGAGCGTGAATCGCCTTCAAGTCCTCGTTGAAGAGCGGGGTGTGGCTGCCATCCCGAGGGCAGAGGATCCGGGTGAGGATGTAGAGTAGGAGGCGCTTCTCCGGTGGGGCCGAGTGAATCGTCGGCGCGCCGCTGTGACGGATCATGTTTGTGATCCCAAGCTCGCGAATGACGACCGCTTCATTGTTGAGGATCTAATCATTGCCACCGTACGTCGCGATGTCGTTGCCTCGGATGGGTAGCCCTGCGACCCGAGCAAAGGTGGGCAAATCAATCTCTATGTCGTAGAGATCGATGCTGCTGTAAATGGTGTCCCCGTCACGGCGCAGATTTGAGTAGAACGCCCGGACGAAAGCGGGGTTGATGGAAGTGCGGCTCTTGGAGACGAAGGGCCACAAACCCGACTCTTTGAGTTGATTGTCGAGGTCGTGGTACCCCTTTTGTTGGGGGAACAACTTCGGGAGCACGCGAGGCGGACAGATCGGGTGCTTGGCAAAGCGCGTGAGGAACCGGGTGAGTTCCTCCTCCGACCCGAACTCAAGGAAGGAGCCGTCGAGATAGGGAAACGGCGGGGGCGCAGAGGTTGTTGCTTCGACGTTGACCTTCTTCTTGGAGGCCTTGCTCTTAGATTTTCCACCGGCCTTGTTGAGACAAGAAAAAAGATTGAGAATTATGTAGAATAGGCTAAAGAGTGAAGATTATGATGTTTAAAGTATGAAAAAATGGACAAAGGTGATGGGAATATATAGGGAGAGAGGTTGAGGGCCCTTTAAATTCAAAATTATAGCTGTTTAGCATTTAATTTGACGCCCAACGGTTATTATTTTTTGAATTTTAGCAGGCTTCCCAGCGATGGTATGATCTACCCATCGATGGGAAGGTCACCACTAGAAAGCACGAAAGAAGTCAAGGCTGCCTTCCTAGCGATGTGTGGATTCTCCCATCGATGGGAAGGTGGCTATTGCCAAGTGAAGGAGTAATGAAAAAGGTCCTTCCCAGCGATGTTTAAACCACCCCATCGCTGGGTAGAGGAGTTTTGAATTCCGTTAAAAAGTTTTAAAAAAATTAGTGTCAAACACCCAGCGATGGGAGGAAGTTCCCATCGATGGGTAGTGATAAAGTCGTTTTATACATAATTTTATCCTCGCATTTAACATATTTTTTATAACTTTTCATCATAATAAGGAATAATTTTCTATTAAAAGTCATATTTCTATAATTTTGAGTAGTAAATTTGAATGGGCCAAGAAAAATAAAAGTATGTTTGATTTCAAAAGAAATTAGTAATATTTTTCTCTTGGAATGGAATTGGAAGTTGGAGCAAGAGAGAAAGGTGTTCAGAATCAATTTTGAAGCAAAATATGAGTTAAGGAGTCGAGTGCACGACAGGCGACCATGCAGGCGGCCGCCTACCAGGCCGCCTGCCAAGCATCAGCAAACGGCGAGGGTTGGCTCCGGCGGCGAACACACGCCCAGACGGGGAAAATTGGCTCCGGCGGGCTAGCAGGCGGCCACCTGCGTGCCCGCCTGTTGTTGTTCTCGAAGTATCACCGATCTAGAAGCTTCCCATGTTGGTGATGGCGGGTTGACAGGCGGCCGCCTGTCTGCCCGCCTGTGTGGTCTGCTCGGGTATAAATACCCCACTTGGTCATTCCCTTCACCATCATCTAAAAATTCCACTTTTTCACCTTTCTAGAGTTTAAGAGTTCTCTTTAAACATCTTAGAGTGTTCATTTGAAGATTTGTGTGATTTATATTCCATTTTTGAAGATCTGTAAGCTTTCTTGTACACTCTTTCTTTATTAATAAAATTATCTTTTATTGCTTAGTTTAATTTGTGTGCCTATATGGTTTTTAGTGGCTAAACTTTTATTAAGGTATGAATTGAATTAAGGGTATGAGCTAATGATTTTTAATTAAGTTAGTGACTTGATTAATTGATTTATTTGTCTAAAATGAGATTCACTAATTAATAGATCTGGCCAATTTATTAATTAATCTTTGGAGATTATTTGTTTGGCTTGTCTATGAGTTAGGAAAATTAATCTAGCCAACCATATTTAGACACATTAATGAAGCTTAGAAATAGGATAAGTTAATGATATAAAATCTAGTTAATCAAGACATTAATTTAATTTAAAATTATTACCTTAGCCTATATACCTGTTCAATTCATACCTGTTTCTAAATTATTAATTGAATTAATCGTATTACTACTACTTATCTTGCTTTGAACTTGATTGCTCTAAATTCCAGACTAATTGTTAAGATAATTAACAAATACTTCCTTTTGCCAATCCTTGTGAGACGACCCGAGTTAATCTCGGTTAAATTATTGATTTACTGCTATATTCAGCTTCGTCAGGTAGTGGAATTCTTGAAAACCATTAAAAAGTTTTAAAAAAGATTGAGTTAAGTACCCAGCGATGGGAGGGAGTTCCCATCGATGGGTAGAGAGGTTCTGGAAAGAAAGGACTTCCCTCCCAGCGATGGTATAAGCCACCCATCGCTGGTTCCCCCTGAGTTCCTGATTCCCTCACTTTGAACCGTCCCTGCAAAAAAGAACAACAGTTTGGTTCCCAAGGTATGTCTATGGGTCCTCAGGGGTTAGTTAAGTTTTGTTGCCCACTCACACACCCAAAAATTCGTTTCCTTATGCGAGCACATACACACACACGTGATTAGATGATTGTTTAGGAATTAACTTGGCCAACCCGTCGTTTCTTGGTTGGCGGGTTCCAGTCTACCTGAACGGAGTGCCGATATCTCGGTGTGATTTGTGTCGGTTCCGGTTACGGAATGTGAACTTTCTCCTTTTCGTCAAAGTAGAAGAAATAATACGGTTTCTTTTGTGCATTATCTTGTGGAGATTGTTTAAGATTCGAATATCCTTTTCTAAAGGATTTCTTTTCGTTAGCACTAAATATGTTGTGTGTTTCATTAAAGGTCAAGTGCCTATTTCTGGTGAAACATACGGGTGCTATGTGTCCTACCCTATTGCAATAATGGCATACTACGTTTGGGTTGAACATATGCCTAAGTTGGTAACAGCTAGGGGGTCTCACCTTATTCTGAAAGTTCAAGGACCCTTACGCAATATAACTGATACCACAACCAACAGTAAATGTAACCAGAATGACACAGAAGGCTATAGCACATTCAACAACACATGCACGAGATAAACGAAAACACAAAGAAAGAGACACAAAGATTTGTTAACGCAGTTCGGAGCTGAATCTCCTACATCTGCGAGGCCCACATCCGTGTAATAGCCTTTTCACTAGATCGCGTAAGAATTACACACTCAATTCAAAGATCCTTCTAATGAACTGATTTGTCTACTTACGAGATCAATTCACAAATCTGATATGTGTCACCTTCAAGGCTATTTCACCTTCTCCTTTGCTCTGCACGGAGGATGTGTATTTGACCTTTGCTCAGCTTTCTCAATGTAACAACTGAACAACCTTACAGAAGCTCCATGAATGAACTTCTCAACAGATCGAGTATATGTATATGATTGATTACTTTCCACACTCTTTATAAGATGTATAGCTGCAATCGCACAGGTGTGTTTTTCTCTTTTTTTTTTCTCTCACAGTTTTTTGCATCTTCCTTAGGTGCGAATATATATGCACCTCACGCAGAAAACCTAGTGGAGTGGAACTAGGAATCCTCGGTGTTTATCATCTCGTTGAGGTATTTGAGTCCAGAGATAGTTCTTCAATGTTTGACTGGCAAAAACTGAGTTTTACCTGTCCAGAGACTGCTCAGGTAATAGGACTTCTTCAAGCATAAGAATTCTTCTCCAACGTGTCTCTCTAAATGAGTCCTTCTTATCCAAGAAGACTGACAGGATGCTACAGCTCACGCTTACAACTAAGACATACTAAAAATTTCTACAGAAGGATTTTTGTCAAAAAATTATGCCAACACATACTACAATAACAGAGAGTTTCTGGAGCTAACATATTCATCCTATTTTGAGAAAATATTGGTTTATGGGTATTTTGAATATTTTCTCTTCTAGGTGTTCTAGCATTATTTTGTCTATTTGAAAACTTATTTTTGTTCATAAAATCATTGTGATAGTTCCTCCTAGGTTGCCTAGAGTGCTCGTGTTCATGACTAACCTTTTTCCTAGATTGTCTATTATTTTTGTTTTTATCTTTCTTAAGTTGAGCTCTAGGTGGTTTACGGTTGTGCTCAACTTTTTCTTTACTTTTAGTTTCATCAATCTTCCCAAAACCTATTCCTTGTATAGTCTATTGCATAGAATCAAAAACAAGATTAAGATCCTTATGTGGTTTATTAAATTTCTTCATTGTGTTTTCTAATTCAACAACTTGTTCTTTCAAAGCTAAGCAAGAGTCACAATGTTTTGTAGAGCTCTCGTGTTTGTCGGCGCTTCTTTTACCATACAATTTATTTTCCTCTATTAGTTTTTCGTTTTCCTTTTGAAGTTTTTTCAAACTCAGTTTCAAGATTAGAGAAATGTTTCTTTAAAGCTTTGTTGGTTTAGAAGCGCTAACAAACTCGTCATAAAGCTCTTGGAGAGCTTCTTGCGTTTCTTTAAAAGAATAAGAACTTGTAGAAGAAATACGTACCTCTTGGTTTTCGTTGTTGGCAGACTCCTCTTATTCTTGAGCTATGAGACAAAGGTTTGCTTCTTCCTCTTCCTCTTGTTCGCTTGACTCATCGCCGGAGTCGCCACCCTAAGAGATGTATGCTCTTTGCTTTTTGAAGTGATGAGCATTCCTTCCACTTCTTGGGCATTTGTTTTGATGTGCCCGGCTTCACCACATCCATAGCACACAGGACCATCCTCAACCTTTTCTTTCTTCCTTAGAAGTTTGCAAAACTTCTTCATGACAAGGTTGACTTCATCATTGTCGCTTGAGTCATTCATCGTTGGTTCTTTGAAGGCTTTTAATGCTATGCCTTTCCTTTGGTCATTCAAAGACGGGTTAAGTATAGTAGATTCATAAGTTTTTAAATTACCTCTTAAATCGTCGATGGTGACATTTGATGTGCCGATTGACTCATAGATGGCATCGGCCTTCGATCGCCATTCGGGTGTCAAGCTCCGTAGGATCTTTCGCACAAGATCCCTGTCGGTGTAAGTCTTCTTTAATGTATGAAGATCGTTGACTATCTTGGAAAATCAGTCGAACATGTCGTCGATCTTCTCATGCTCCTTCATCCTAAACATCTCATACTCTTGGGTGAGGAAGTCGATCTTGGTTTCACGTACTTGGTCTGTCCCTTCGTACATCACCTCAAGTTTGTCCCACATCTCCTTGGCGGTTGAGCAGTAGGAGATTTTGAAGTAGTCATCAGGATTTACGGCACAATAGAGCATGTTTATTGCCTTTGCATAATTCTTGACTTTTTTGATGTCCTCGGCATCAAACTCGTCTTCGGTCTTGGAGATCAACTTGTCTCCAACATTCTTCATTGGCATCTCTTTACCGTTTTTGATAACCAACCATAATTGGAAGTTCGTGGAACGAATATAGATTCTCATTCATTCTTTCCAATATGCATAATTGGTTTCATCAAAAAGAGGTGGTCGTGTGGTTGATTGCCCTTCACCTATTCCTGCATACAAATTTCTAGAAGAAGAACCCATGATCGCTTTACTCTCAAACGGTTAAGTTTGGACGCGAGTTAGGCTCTATTACCAATTGTTAGAATAAGTGACCAACGCTAGAGGGGGGTGAATAGCGTTTGATCGTAGAAATCGCAGGAATAAAAAAAATTAAGAGCGTGAAACGTAAAGAGCGTAGAAAGCGTAAAGGGAGCACACCAAGATTTATACTGGTTCACCATGTTACGTGTGGTTAATCCAGTCTCCCGAGAGACTCTCTCGAGCTACACTACTTCCGTTAAGCTTACGGGTGCTTAACAAACCGTTACAACCTGAGAACTCGAGTCCCACGAGCCTCAACAACCCTTGCTCGGAGATACCGCACTCCAAGACTTCAACCTGAAGGAAAATCCCTTTCCTTTGTGCAACCAAGGGAAAGAAGCTTCCCTTAATGTGTATACAACACTAAGACACTCAAGAACAAAACTCTCCTTAAGAGTGGATATTGAGTAAAATATATACGCTCAAGAACAACTCAAACTTCACACAAATTGGCTCTAGAAAGCTATGGAAAATGATGTTGTATGAATGCAATGATAATATGAATAATGTGAAGTGAATTGGTAAGAAAAGCAGACCCAAACACTCCTTTTTATAGTGCCAAAATAGGCTCCAACGAACCAATACATTAAAGGGGTGATTGGCTTGATTTATGATATTGAATAAATTTGGGATTCGCAGGATATTGGCTTCCCATCAATGTTTGGACTTACCCATTGCTCGTAAGCCAATTTTCCTTTAGTTTTGAAGCCAACGGTCACCTACCCATCGATGGGTACAAGCTTCCCATCGCTAGGTGGGAGGTTGATTTCCAAACAAGGAAAGAATCAACCTTAAATGACTTTCAACGGTCATGCCTTCCCATCGATGGTTTAGCCTTTCCATCGCTGGGTTCCTATCGATGGATAAAAGTCCCCATCGCTGGGGAAGGTCGTTCTACCTTGTGTTGATGTTGGACCAAGGCTTTAACACCGATGAGTAAAACTTCCCACCGCTGTTTGGCATGGTTCTGGAACTTGGTTAGGCTGAAGGACCGCCTACCCATCGATGGCAAGTTCTTCCCATCGCTGGGTGGGTGGTTAGCTAAAAACCCATAGTTTTTGCCTTAACCACGGCCTAGCCAACCGATGCAAAAACCGAATGAAAAATCCATAGTTCTCCAAAATAAAAACCAAGTGTTTAAAACATGTATTTGGCTAAGAAATCAAGTGATACACTTTAAAAACCACATCATTTGAGTAAAAACCACGGCTAGCCAAGTTTACGCCGTTTTGCGTTGTTTTTGCCAAACGACCGAAACGAAAGGTGGTTTTCAAAATGTTTTTGTTGGAGAACTGTTTAAACATGCCAAGAAGTAAAAACCAATCATAAAATGTTAAAAACCACTTGGTTGGTTCGGACGCCAAAAAGCAACGACGATAACCGAGTGCCGAACGCCGGTTTCTAAAAGCCGAACGCTGGATGGCTTGGTTTTTGGTTTGGGCGAACACCAAGTGTTTTTAATGATTTAAAAATGTTTGAAAATTTTTTTTTTATGATGTTTGAAATATAATGAAGATAATTTTAGCCTAAAGAGCCAAGGTGTAAAGATTGGGTTGGTCTTGATCACAATAAAGACCGACTCAACGACACTAAGACTGTGGTCTTCGTTCTTGGTCTTCTTTTAGCTCTTGTTCTCATCTTCGTTTTTCGCCTTGTATGTTCAATGACTTGTCTCGTTCTCGGCGGTTTGACATTATCAAAACCTGTCATAAAAACGAACACGGCTTTAGTACGTAAACGTGACAAACCCGTGTTTCAATAGTTTCGATAATAGTAATTGCAATGATGATGATGATGATACTCAAAATGCATGAAAATAATTTTTAAAACACTATTGGAAAGAATCAGAAGAAGTTATATGAAACTAAAATAGTGGAAAAGATTTTGAAAATGTTTGAAGAGGTTGGAAGAATTAAATTTCAAAAAATTAGAAAGAATTGAAAAAAACTAAACCAAGTTAAAAGGAAAAAAAAAATTAGAAAATATTGGAAGTTCAGGGTGCATTTAGTTGTGAGAAAATATGTGTCTAGATAATTATTCTAGGAGAAACTAATTTTCACAAAAAATTATTCTCTCCCGCATATTTTATTGAAACCATGTTGATATTTTAATAAAAACAAAGATATTTTGAAATAATTTTAAAATATTTTAGGGGGGCATAATTCATTTTTTATACACGGACAATTTTCAATTTTTTTATTGTTCTTCATTCTCTAGGGGCGGCGAGAGGAGGGGGTGGCGGGGCGAGGGGAGATGATGGGGGTGTGGGAGAAGGGATGAACTCAATCGTGGAATTAGAGTACTTAAAGATTGAGTAAAATTGTAAAAAATAAACTTTGATTAAAAACAAACAAAAGTCATTTTCATCTCTTTGAAAAAATATTATTCTAAAGAAATAATTTTCTACCATTTATGTAACCTAACATTAGAAAAATAGAATTATAATTTTCTAGGAAAGTATATTTCTTTCAACCAAATACATCCAAATAATTGCAGAGTAGGATCCAAAAGAACCTAATCTTAAAATTTTGAAGAAAACTTTTATAATGAACAATAATTTCATGTGTGTGAAGAAAAAAATCTAAGAAAACAAATTCTTTTCTTTTCCTTCCTAATTTCGTGAACCAATCATACTATCTTATCATATATCCTTTACAATAATATTTGAGACTCATCTTTCTAAAATGTTGACATGTATCATCCTACATGTCATGCTTTAAATTCTCATTTAACATTTATGAAAAAATATTTATGATAACTTTTAAAATTTAATGAGTTTAAAACAATTTATTTTGTATTAGAAATTCATGGTTTTTTAAACTTATTGAAAATTATGTAAACGAAATAAAAACATAAGTTTTTTAAAAATTAAATGAATTATTCATAAAAAAGAAAGTAATCATGATTAACCCAGTCCTCTTTTCATAAAAACAACAATGATATTAAACGTCTTTTGAGTAAAGTAAACTTTTTTAAAAAAAATTATTAATCTATTCTTTTGTATGAAAATTTATTGAGCTAAAATATAGCTTAAATATATGATTAAGACCCATCACGAACTAATTTTGTATACTCCGTATTAGTTTGATTTAGTTATTTTAAAATTTCTAAAAACATGTGCATTAATTGGGATACTGAATCAAACAAAATATATTGGTGACTATAATTTCTCCATTGTTTTCGAGGACACAACAACCATTAATATATAGGCCATCTGCAATATATGCCAATAAGAACAAGAGAATTATATTACTTGAAAATAGTTTTTAAGTGAAATTTGCACTAAATAAGACTAAAACATAATGACTTTCCTAATGTAGGACTTAAACTTTTTTATTCCTTAAATAGGACTTAATAATGACCTGGTGGGAGGAATAATGTCCAGTAATGCTAGACATTTACTTGAATAATGACTAGCTAATAATGACCAAAAGTCTTATATTGGGAAATAAAAACATATGGTCCTATATTGGGAAAGTCATTATGTTTTAGTCCTATTTAGGTAAATTTCTCTAGTTTTAACTGCATGTTAAACGAGGATGTACAAGCTATCAGAGCTTGAAGACAGTAACCAATAATGTTGTACAAAACTCATTCAAGAATATAATGCATGCGAAGCATAAAGCATTGTAGTTATAAACCAATGATAAAGAAAGATTTAAAGTTTAAATTAAAAGAGACTACTAAACTATGATCTCGGAATAACTAAGAAAGTTAGTAACCACAGTATTAGTGACAAATACCATGAGTCATCCTCAAGTTGTTTGAGAAAAAACCATGGAAGCTTTTGGTTGATGGATATGGAGTCATGCTACACTTACACCACAAATTGTACCCCATTTGTACACCGCAGTTATACACAAATATTTTGATGGTTTACACCGATACAAGTGTTGGTGCGTTAACAAAAATTTACACAGACACAAAGTGTTGGTGCATTAAAAAAATTAGTTTTACACCAACACAAAGTGTTGGTGCAAACCTGCATGGTACAAAGTGGGGTGCAAAAATTGGGGTACAAATATATAGCTTTACCCGTATTTTATTTGACTGAAGAAGAATATTGCACAATAAAGGTATTTCTTTAAAAGATAGTTTTTATTATTTATATAAAGATCAATATGAAATCCATGATACATATACAAAATTCTAGAATATAGATAGTGGTTGAAATAATTTAATCGCATTTAACCAGTTTTTGTAGAATTTATTTTTTCACCAAAAGATCTAAAGAGTTTGTATTTAATTAATATTGAAAAGTTACTTAATTCAAATAGATAATCCTTATAAGAGTTTGGTGGTATGCCATTTTGAGATGACAATCTACTTTTAATACATGCCAAAATAATTTTTTGGAAGAGGAGTTCAATTATGACAAAGAAAAGTTGTCATATGATCTTAAACAATATACTCCCTCCGTCCGAAAATTTTCTTCCCGTGTTGACTTGGCACGCTTATTAAGGAATAGTTTAAAAAATGCAAAATTTTCAAAAATGCACTTACCATAAACTTTTAAATATCCTTTTATTATTAAAAAAGTATTAAAAAAGTAGATTTCTGATAAAATAGAAGGGTATAATTGATATTTAGCCTTAAAAAGCATACTAAAAAAGGAAATGGGAAGAATATTTCCGGACGGACTAAAAAGGAAAATGGGAAGAATATTTCCGGACGGAGGGAGTATATATCTGCAATGAATGAAGGCTGGCCAAATGAACATATACGACAATGAATGTTTTATGTTTTGCTATAACTATAAATAAAAATCAATGTTAAACATTGTCATTGATTGGATTAATTTTAACCAGGTTGTAAATCACTCATGGTCAATTTTATGTTATTATTTCACGAGTAAAAACCAAGATATGGTTAAAAATATTAGTTCTAAATATTAATGAAAATTCTTGCAACCACACTAAATATGTTTTATCCCCCCGAAGATTTTCA